AAAACACTGGACTGTGTAGAATCGTATAGCAGATTTTTTTTAAATTTAATATATTTTTTTGAAACAGTAATATGTTTGTAATAATATTTATTTATCAAATATTATACAATGAACGTAAAATACGCTAAGACAAATGTTACTGTTGAAACAATAAAAAACACTAGAGGACTTTAACCTCTATCATGATATATTTTTTACGCCTAAAACATGCTGTGGTCTTGGCAACTTGTAGTCTTACACACACACACACACACACACACACACCTGGCTGGAAGTTTCACGTGTCTCTTATGTTACATTTCGGTCTATTAAACCGCATGAAGTCAATACCCTCCTTTAACGCCAACCAATCAGATTCGCTAAATCGCTATCCCCAACCAATCACGTTCTCTGAATACTAAAAAGATAATTAAACTTATTGTTTCTCTTCCAAACCCGCTCAAGGTCAACAGGTACTTTAACCAGTCGTGATATGGACAGCAAACAAAACTTACCCATCAAAAAGTTAACTATATAGCAGCACATGGAAATATGTGTACATTCTGTACAAGAAGAGATCTCCAGTAAAAAGAACGATTATACAAATGTAGGTGTGCATAAGTGTCGCCAGAATCATAAGGTAGTTTCTTAAATTAGTAACAAATGTAGGCCTAAGTAAACCGTAAGTATGTTTGTTATTCAGCACAAAATTACACAATGGATTATCTGTGCTGTGCCCACAGTAGGTATCGAAACCCGCATTTTAGCGATGTAAGCTGGGACACTTGTCGCTGGCCCACAAGTAGCAGTGTAGTAGGTGTGGACGTGTGAATAAACCAATGTGTGTATGTCTATATATATACGTACGTGTTGAATATGAACTCTGATAACACTATATGTTTCATTAACTGAATGTAAGGTCGTTATGGTCACATTTATAATTACCTATTTGTATTATTGTATCTAATTTTCTAACCATAATTGTTATCGTGTCAACAGTTCCAGAAGTTCTGCATTCAGTTTCAACCAAACTATGAAATAAATGTAAGTTTGTAGCGATCATGTAACCATGACAACGAAGTACGATGTATGTACGTCCGGTAAAGTTGTTGTCTGAAACTGTCCTTATAACGATCGGGGAATTATAAATTCCCAGTTGGGGATATCTCTTGTACTTAATGACATTTAAAAACAAAGTAATATGGAGCAACTTGGGGTTCAGGACCATCCATAAAGAGACTTGCAATAGGTCGCACCCAAACCTTAATAAGCAAAGTATGACGTCTTGTAACAGACACCAATAATAGTGCCAAAAGGCTACCACGTGCGCAAGGTAGGGATTCACCATGATAAGGTTTCTGGTTTTACCTCCCGTTCACCCATCGCATACCTCGAACATCTGGAGAATGAAACAGGTATTCATACTATTACATATAAAGACGTACCAGCCAAGTAGCAGTTAATACAGGTTTTTGTGCGATCAAACTTTTGAAACAAGTATTGGGAAACTGTTGTTCTCCTACACTAGATGGCTTATGGCAAAACAGCATTGAGGAATGATGTGGGTGGGACATAATAGCCTTATGATGGAGCTTTTTACAATGGAAATACGCTGCAGAGCGATTGCCAGGTTATACAGTCGTCAGACAGAGCATGATAGGACGTGGCGACAAGTATTTCAATGACGAAGTGGAGCTCCAAAATCATTTCAATATAGACAACAAAATAAGATGTCTTATACACTTGCCAAGAACATTTTCACACAGAGAGAATGAAAGAAATATAATTTATTATACAAATATCCCCTCACAGGTATTCTTGTGATAAGTGTGATGCCATGACAAAATCCGAGGTATCACCTACATTTTTCAAACTTGTATTTCAATAACACACCTAAATTTTTTGAGTAAAATTAAATGAGCACGCGCCTAGTGACATGATGAAGGTGACGTGATAATGATAAATGAACCAGATCAGTTGAACTACTAACACAAACAGGTAAGTGCAAATAGAGGGCGTCTCAACCGAAGCATTATTTGGTAATGTTATGACTCACCGAGAGGAAAAAAAATTGTTGTTTATGAAATAAATGATTGAGTCATTTCCACAACATACCAATGATTTTTCGAATTGGGTAATTTAAACCATTATATAAGATGTCCTAGCCTCCTGGTTAGCTGACATACAGTAGCAATATCTGTTGTATCATAGGTATTTGAAAACTGTAAATTATGCTGGTTTGTATAGATCTCCACCAGTTATGTCACGTGATTCACGTATGATAGTATTAATGTGTGCAGAGTAAGTATATGGCTGAAACTACGACAGTACCTTATATTTTATAGTAGTACTGTCTGCATTATCTTGTTTTATGTACATCAACTTATCTATAAAGTTAATCGTATTAGTTATCAAGACGTACCCCATCACCAGTTGGCATCAACATGACAAGATGATGTTCCATCACCAGTCAACGTGTCAAGATGCTGTCCCATCAACCAGTTGACATCAACATGACAAGATGATGTTCCATCACCAGTCCACGTCAACGTGGAGATGCTGTCCCATCAACCAGTTGACATCAACATGACAAGATGATGTTCCATCACCAGTCCACGTCAACGTGTCAAGATGCTGTCCCATCACCAGTCCACGTCAACGTGGCAAGATGCTGTCACATCACCAGTCGACATCAACTTGACAAGATGATGTCCCATCACCAGTCGACATCAACGTGACAAGATGCTGTCACATCACCAGTCGACATCAACTTGACAAGATGATGTCCCATCACCAGTCGACATCAACTTGACAAGATGATGTCCCATCACCAGTCGACATCAACTTGACAAGATGTCACATCACCAGTCGACACCAACTTAACAAGATGATGTCCCATCACCAGTCAACATCAACGTGACAAGATGCTGTCACATTACCAGTCGACATCAATGTGACAAGATGCTGCTTCATCACCCATTGTCAAAATCGAATTCCAGTGAAAACGACACCAGTGGTAATATCTCTGATGATAATAGCACTGAAAAAAATGGTACAATAATAATGCAAGGGGGGAAAATTAAACAATTTCTTGTCAAAATATGTAAAATGCAGTATTTTTTTAATGTGTAAAATACAATTATCTTTTTACATTTTCACGTAGTCACTTTTTTTCACTTTAAATTTATTGGTTACTGTCGGGACCTCTACCGGCAGTGAAAAAACATAAAAAAATGGACTTGAAGGAATATTCTCCTCTCAATTGTGATTTTCTAACACGTGAGCAGCATAAGCTATCTAGGCCTAACGTAAAACGTGAAATGAAATACACTGTCATTCAACAGATATGGATTTTCTTGTTACATAATGATTTCGAAAGTCACTTGAACGGTGATGTCACACAAACCATAAATAGTAGGTTAGCTGTAAATGATGAAGCGAAAGAGGCTGTTATTAAACACCCAATTTTCTTGTTTGAAAAGTCACGTGCCCGGCTTACACAAAACACCGATAGTGGGTTCTTCTTTTTCCCAGTCTCCCAAGATCGGGAAACTTCCCGTATCTACAGCTAAGTTTTAGGGCACAAAAAAAAACACTAAATCGCTTTTCTTTCCCAAGTTTCATCCACATTTTAACATTTCGTCAACTGTTTACGATATCTTTCACCAGGTGAACAGTGTCAGACAGGTTACGTTTATCACATTATGGCAGGCAAAGTATGCTTTTGTTACGTTTTTTTTTGTATAATCGCCGTTGTTCTAGTTTAGACAGGTTGTTCTATCAGAACACTAGATAACGTGTGTTTAATTCTAAAGATATAAACCTAAATACACTGAAGCTAATCAATTAAACCAGAGTACGTACAGGCTTTAAAATAATGTTATCATAAGGTTATCTTCGTAACCTCCAAACAACTCGGAATGAAACCTTTAAACTTCTCACGCACGATCTTGTAATCTCGTGAAAATAGCATCTTACAGTCAAAAGAAATTTTATTTATTTAAAATATTTTATTCTCACCTAAAGAAGCATGTACAGTATAAAATAATATTTTACAAGAAACCTTTTTTTTTACAATAGTTTTCCTCTTATCACATTTCGTAAACGTTACCTTCGGCTAAGTAATGGGTCAACGATAAGTTTACTGATTTGCAGCGTTAAATCCGGGGTCCGATTCCACACAGTGGAAAGAGAACAGATAACTCAATGCGGCCCAGTGATTGGTGAGCTGGACTGTAGATCCGTGGTACGCGTCCCACTACCGCAAAAAAAAAGATAATAATAATCACGCCGTAGTTGGCGTTATAAAAGTGACAAGCAGACCCCATTATTCGATTAGAGCAGGCTAGGTACTGTTGAGACGGTCCCCGATTAATTTCATTGCAGACCTAGTATTTACATGTGTTTACATTGATAAGTGTGCAAAGTACTTACTTGACGAATGTGAGAAGTCCACCTAACTCGCTGCAAGTTGTTGACGTGAATCTCGTGTTAACCTTGACATTTACAGCTAACTGACCTTATGTGGTAAACTAAATCCAGAGGCACTTGTATAAAACTGTTACCACAATTCCAGATCCAGACAGTACTGTGGAATCCAGCTGGATTCATGACAATTGTATTTCTGTTAAGTTTTATTACAGAACGGAAAGATATTATACAACACAAGATGATGATGATGGCTACACCTAAAGAAAATAATAATACAAACTCGTTGAATATTTATTTCGTAACGAAAATAAGAAATTAAATATAAGGGTCTTACGGGGCCGATCGGAAGGCACTTTCGGCTTCGTATTTTTTCCTGGGGTCATAAGTCATCATCATAAATCTAGACTGTATAGCCCCTCTGCGTCCTTCGAGTCAGACTGGCGTACGGCCCTTCCCTTCTCTCGACAACTTCTGACGTAATAATTTGTGCAGGGACAAGTACTGAGGCTAGTTGTTTTCGTTAAAACAGAAAATCTAATTTTGATGAACAGTTAAATGAATTTAAGAGAGTATTTTGAGAGAAATTCAAATAATTTAAAGTTGACGCTGCAAATAAGCTTTTAAGCCTAATTGTACGTTTCATATATTTCGTCACGGTAAAATAACGCAGCTTTCCTCAGATCAGAGGCCTTTCAAAGACGTGCAAAACATACTTCTACGCCAACATGTCGACTTTTTGTACTCGTCGCTCTGCACAAACATGGATACGAAGACCAAATTACCTTGAAAAATGCAAGTCTAATTTGCTTTTTGTCGTAACTTTCACACGTTCTCATTTCTCCACGTCATGAACAGGTTTGTTTCTTGGTTCAGTTAATCCCTTATATTTACAGAACGAACGTAAACAAGTTATGGGGTCAGGGAATGGATGACCTACTTCAAGGGCTAATTGTGGGGCACTGTGGACATTTTGGCTGACCTTGAAATAAGGCGAGAGTTCTCAATAGAACACGTGTTCACATAATATTTACCAATTATAAAATATAAGCTGATAAATCTGTTTTGAAATTTTAACCTTAGAAATGCGTACAAAAAGTCAAATATTACACCTACGAGCACTATCGAAGTTTGGACCAGAACCTCTGTCCACGACAGTTAAGAAGCTATAGTATTCTTCTCGAAGATAAACGTTAAATAGGGTTAGACAAAAATAAACAGGATTTGTAGAAAGTTGTTTGCATCTACGCTATCGGAAGTACATCCACTTGCATGTTTTAATGTTACAAGGGATATGTTTGGACAAAAGATGGCGCTATTCAATGTTATTGTCACTGGCAGCAATGCCTAGTTTGTTTGTTTTGAGTTTTGCGCAAAGCCACACGAGGGCTATCTGCCGTCCTTAGTTTAGCTGTAATAGACTATGGAGAAAGCAGCTAGTCAACACCACCCACCGCCAATTCTTGGGCTACTCTTTTACCAACGAATAGTGGGATTGACTATAACATTATAATGCTCCCATGGCTGAAAGGGGCAAACATTTTCGGTGACGGGGATTCAAACCTGCAACCCTCAGATTACGAGTCGAACACCCTAAGCACCAGGCTGGAAGCATTTGTCGTTTACATAAGCACTCCTTAAAATATACAAGAAACAGTCTGATTTTTAAAAGGGTTAAAATATAATAACCTTAACTGCCTGTTGCC